GCTTACAAGGTGCTGCTTAGGCCCCCCTATACCCTACACCCACCCACCCCCTAACCCCACACACTAGGGGGGGCTGGGGCATGGGGGCTGTTTTCTACTTAAACTATTTACGGGGTCAGGACTGGCTATCAATCTTTACGAATGGGTCCTGGTAGAAAAAAGGTTGAAAACCACTGCTCTACAGCATGTGTCACTGGCAGCTACAGCATAGATCCAACTGCATACTAAGTCACTTACAGTTCTATAACAATCGCTCCATGTTTAATTTCATCCATCTCCATGAAAGCAAAGCACTTGGTGCTGGTAAACCTTTTCTTAGGCTTATAGTGTTTGAATTCAAAGAAAATAGCTGCACCTAGAGTAAGAAAAAATGACATAGAAAAAAAAATGAGCTCTTGCCTTACAATAGATTGCTCAGCATGAAAATATGCCCACCACCAAACATGCTCTGCATATACCAAAGACAATTGCTTCTTTTACTTCAAGTCACCCAATTCTGTAGGGAAAAAATAATGTTTCTTAAAATGCTAGAATTACTCACATGCACTTGTCCCCCCAACTCTTACTCACAGCTAGGTACCATTGTTGACCTAAACAAATGGAAAGACGAAGAGGATCTATATACAAAGTGGAGGAGAATAGTGCTCTTTTATTGGCTTTTATTCCTCCTTATTCCTAGGAGTCAGCTGATGGTTTCCAGCAGATAGACAGGATGTCAAGCTCTATTTTACACCCTTGTATGACTGTTAAGCCCTACCCTAGTAGAACAGCTGGGACCTGGCCTCTCTGCAGAAGAGGGAACTGCATTCTGTCCACAACACTGAAGGCTGGTTGGTGGACACTGCCTCAGTTAGCTATTACTACCCACCTTTAGTTAGTTTCTCAACATGTTTCTGGATCTCAATGTCCACGTTGAAATGAACATACGTGTCCTCTTTCCTTGAAGCCACAGGAGTATCCTGTACAGGGGTGAGATCTATCCCATTGAGATCTGTAGGAAAGAAAAGGATAGCACTCTTAGATTCCAAGTACTGAAAACATTTTTAAAGCCTCATTTACACACACACACACACACACACACACACCCTTGTAACTTGTACCCAATATCTTTCAGATATCTGTCTAAAGATATTCTTTTGTTCGAATTTGCAAAGTGGTAACCAGATAACTCCTGGTCCTACAATATCCCCTAGAACATTACACAGTCACTATTCCTTTACCTTCCTAAAAGGTCAAAATCCCAAACCATTTGCACTCATTTTATTTTAAATGGACATTCTCTTTACACCGTCAATAAAGGTTCCTACTTCCTTTTGGGGATACTTCTCAGTACCTGAAAGATGCTCCAAAATTCTATCTAACAAAGACACACAGACTTTAGAAGTTCTACTTTTAGAAACGGGCCCCTGGCAGATGCTAAGACATGATTGACCAGTTAATCACATCTTGAAAATAACAACCTAACCACATATTCAGTCAATTAATGGTGCGATAAAAACAAGAAAAATGTCACAAAAGTATTATTTCAAAAAAATGTGCAATAATTTTGTGGGTGGTTTTTTATTATTTTCAAAACTGAATGTGTGGTAGGGGGACAGCATGCAGGCCAGAACCAGTCCTGGTGCAGTCCCTACCGGCTGACGATCAGCAGATGATTGGCTGGCTCTAGGATTGCACTGGGGCCTGGCTCAAACTGCCACAGTAGATCCCCAGATCACGATTAGCTGACCGTTGGGCATACAGCTTTCAGCTTGCTCCCTGCACCAGCCAGCACAGCATAATTGAGATACAATTCCCAATCCCAAAAATCACACCTCCTGCCATGCACATGGCATGGCAACAGGTGTGATTGCTGGGCTTGGGAATCAGATCCAAGTCCTTTAAACGAACATCTGTCAGTCGCCACCATCTTTTCCATTGACCGCCACTTATATGTAATCAGAGTCAGTTCTGCTTGTTGTACTGACCAGAAGCAGTGCTCACTATTTTTCATGCCTACAGGCCCTTCAGAGCCAGGCAGCGATGAGACAGTCAGCTGGATTCTGTTCAGTCAGTCAATCAGCACAAGTTAACAAGCATGCTGTTCAGGTGCAAGCCGAACTGGCAAAACTACTGCATACCATGCCTAGAATGGGTTCACTATTATACATGATCTCTCACCCTTTCTTCTTTCCCTTTCTACCAGTTTTAAACCAGTCCACTACTGTGTCTTGTCTAAGTGTCTAAGTGGGAAAGACAACACTCTGGAGCAGATGCTACCATTTTTAGTACGTACAGCATATTGAGGCCCTGACTGGAGACCTGGGCACTACTGCAGCATAGTTCATAAATAAATCATAAATCCACTACTACTACTGAGCCAGCCAGAAGATACTGGTTGGATGCTTGGACTCCATACTGGGACTGGTGGCCATTTATGTCTCTGTGTAGGTATATTATGTATACACAATAACTTTCAGTGTAAAAAAATGTATAAATGTAACCAACTCAGGAAAGACATGTTAAGGCAATGGCACAAGACACTGTTTTTATTAACAAAGGGCAGTCTGGTTACTTTTCAGAATAGATTCTTACCCTGAAACTTGGGGGGGGGGGGG